GTGTGTACTGGTATATATGGTTTATGGGGACACAAATATGTATAATGACATGGGTACTACAACATAAACATGGTAAAACAACAGGCTTAAAAAACATACAAAACTGAGTTTTATGAAATTCAAAAATTGCCAGTAGTTTTCTGTAAGGGGTAGGTTTAGGTGTAGGGCGATAAAAAACTGTTTGTACAGTATAAAAAACATTACGCCTATGGAGAGTCCCCGTAAACCACAAATTAAAGTGTGTGTATGTGTGTGTGTGTGTGTTAGGCAATGTAGTCAGTGAGTGGACTTTATTTTTTGTGTCTGTTTTTGTTGTTTTCCATGACAATTTACATTGTTATTTTTACTGTTATGTTTACGTTTGTACTGTTTGCCATATCTTTTCTAGTGTTAAATATTTTGTCCCTATATTGTTTAACTGAATCTGAATTAAATAAAGCGAATAAATAAATCTGAATTTTTAAAAAAAAATTGCACAACTGTAATTTATTACATTTGCAATAAATGGTTAGCCAGCTTTAGAGCATTAAGAATCGGTGTCTCAACTGTACCATGGTACTGTTTCAACTGTACCCATAGGGTACAGTTGAGACAAAAATGCACCTTATGTTTATGAGCTACTTGTGGAAAATATAAACTACTTATGGCTATTATTAGTTTATGATATTTTAGTACATAAGCAAAAGAAATATGTGAAAAATCACTTCATTTCATTTCGGCATCTAGTTTTTGTGTAGTGATGAAAAAAGCAGAAAGTGTCTTTACTGTACTCAGTCTACCCAACATTGTGTGTTCATACAAGTTATATGGACAATTAAACCACAAATGAAAATGTGTCTTTGCATGAAATAAAATATCAAACTAAGTTCTATTTGTTTAATATTTATGAAAAATATGTTTTTAGGTTTTATCTAAATATATAAAAATACAGTTCAAACGTTTGTGGACAGTAAGTTTTTGAAAAAGTCTTATACTCACTCACCAAGGGTGCATTTATTTGATAAAAACTCAAAATAACTGTTTTCTATTGTAGCATATTTTCAAATGTAATTTATTCCTGTGATGACAAAGCAGAATTTTCAGTATCATTACTCCAGTCTTCAGTGTCACATGATCCTTCAGAAATCATTCTAATATGCTGATTTGGTGCTAAAAAATATTTCTTAATTTCTTTTTTATTATCAATGCTGAAAACAGTTACTGCTTAATATTTTTGTGGAAACCATGCTAATTTTTCAGGAGTTTTTCGTGAACAGAATGTTCAACAGCATTTATTTATTTTATTTTTATGTATTTTTTATTTATGTATATATTTATTGTAAAAGTATAAAAGTCTTTACCATCATTTTTTATCAATTTGATCAATAAAAGTATATATAATAGTTTCATATTTATTTTATAAAATATGAAATAATGATATAATAATTATAAATATCGTTTATACGTATCTTTTTATTTTTATTTTAACTGCTGCAGTTTTACACTGGTACAGCGGTACATCATCATGTTGTTCAAATTGACTTATTTTTAGCATTACGCTGTTAAAAAAAGCTTTTCCATTTCCATATCCTATCACTGTACTTCAACAAAATACAACAAAAGCATCCCATATCATATCATCTTCTCGTGACAGAGACAGGAAAGCAAATGCAGATGAGAAAAGGTCAATTTGGTGAGATTGCATCACATTGGCATTGTGTATGAATTGTCCGTCCACACACAGACATGGAGAGTCGATTATCAGATAAAAGCATTTGCCCAAACACGGGTTCAGGCATGTAAAGAAAGAGAGGAGGGAGTGGAAAAACCAACCACCATGGGATATTTTCATGCCCAGGAGACATCACAAAATAAAACAGACGGCTAGTGTGCACCACACCTCATCACGCTTCAACATCATTTGATGTTGACAACGCTCTACTGCTCAACTAAAGTAAATCCAAACTCCACTTATCTAGAGCATGACTGAGACTGATTTTAATCAGGTTATATTTCCTCTCTGTATCACTATTTCAACAAACTAGCTAAGTACTTTAGATACAAGTATGCATACTAGCAGTTTCCCTTGCATGGCCTAACATACCATGGACACAGTATACAGAAAGGAAGTCAGTCGGCGCTCATGTGACTCCTTAAGGTGGAGTTTTGGAGTTAATGTTTGACAATATGCGTAGGTAACCTATGAGACAGGTGCACAAATGGCTGGAAAGATTGATTCGGTTACCATAGCATTTAAGACACAATCAAACATCTCGAGCGTTACAAGGAAAACAATGCAATCAGCCATATGTGGCCTCGTCTGTCTCAATGATTGATTCCTAAGCAAGTCTGTGGCATGTAGAGTTCTGTTTACTCTCGTCTTCTCAGACTTTCTGTGAGCTGATGTCATCTAAGTGTTAATCAAGCATTTGAAACACCCAACGGAGAAGCCGGATTGGTCACTTGCACTTTTAAACACACACATATACTGGCACACACCCTGTGAGACCTTTGGACTTATAGATAGAAAGCTGTGAGATTACAGAATACTGAATCAACAATGTGTGTGTGTGTTTGTGTGTGTGTGTGTGTGTGTGTGTGTGTGAGAGAGAGAGAGAGCCACCCTACTGAGAAGAATTCCTAAACATGCTTCCTGTCTGAGTAAGTGAACGGAGGAGTTTGTATAGCACCAGTGCAGACGTGTAGGGAATGGGCAATAGTTTATCACACCTCTCTCTTAATAGCACAATAATTTAACTGTACTTTATCAGTATTATATACTATACTGTACATACAGTGGTTCCCAGAAGTAGTAACTTTACTTTCTAAGTGATTTTTTGCAATGACTTTGAACCAGCTGTTCCCAAAGTGATTTCTAGAGGATGTGTGACAAGTTCACATAGGTCTAGTTCATCACATTAACTATGAACATGATCCACTAACATTTGACAACCTGGGTATCTTAATTTTGAATGGTATATCTATTATATTATCATTTTTAAAAACTTATCTTTTAAACGTCTTTTTAAGAAATATTTTGCTTGGAAAGTGTTAGTGCTGTTTTTCTTAGAAATAAATGTCAGGTTAGATTTTTTTTTTTCATGTTATTCAATGCTATTTATACATTTTTAAGTTAAGCTGACAATGTTATTTTAGTATTATTAACATAATATTCTAGTATTAATTAATGGCTTTTATTTTTATATTTTCAGTTTTCATTTTAATTTTAGTTTAAGTTTTAGTGATTCTGTTACATGCTTAGTCAGTTTTTTAAATATTTCTATTTAACTTTGTTTTTATTTCTGTTTTAGTAATTTTAGTATGTCAACTTAAAAACTTTTTTTATAGGCAACATATTTAATTTTATGAAACGTTTTTAAGTATTTCTAATAAGTAATAATTCTATTTTTCAGAAAATTTCAGAAAATGATTTTTATTGGATTTATTTTTTACTATTTAGTTAATCACTAATATGGTAAAAGTGTTTAAACCATTTACAGAATCATGGAACCACAAATCAGTCATTCAGATTTACAGCTGTAGGTCCAGTGCTTTACCACAAAACAGGACAAAAACAAACATCACCTTATTTGGACTCGTTTTATTTAGTTGATGATTCCAAACATCACAAATATGGAAACAACGTCTGAACTCTGACCTAGAGATGGCATCCTAGTGCACACTAGCTGTTCACAAAAAGAGTATCAGTATGGCAAGGTGCTCCTCTCTGTTGCTTTCTTTGTCTCGTCGAGTGCGTGAGTGATTAAGCTTGCGTTAGGAGTCATTATCTGAGTGTCTGCACAGCTCCGTCTGTCCTGAATGGGCCCAGTGGGTAAACACAAACGTAATACAGGATACACTTGCACAAGAGACTCAAGGCCTTTTCATAGCCACACACACACACACACCAACACACTCGCCAGTGCCATTCACTGACTCCACTGACTAATTTAAACATCCTCATTACGGTTAAATGAGTAACATGTGGCATATTCCCAGTATTTTTTAACTAACATAAATGTACATTTTGTTGATCTGTTAAGCCATTGTTCTAGTATGCCTAACCAGTGTAACTATCACATTTTTTTTTGTGATAAAAAACTACTAAAAAACAGTGTAACTATCACAATTTTTTTTCAATTTAGGGTGGAAACCATGCCATTGTTCAAGTCTCATTAAATTATTAAAAGCTTAATTTCACACAATGATATGAATAACGACACCTGTTACACATCATTTTTAAAAACTTATCTTTTAAACGTCTTTTTAAGAAATATTTTGCTTGGAAAGTGTTAGTGCTGTTTTTCTTAGAAATAAATGTCAGGTTAGATTTTTTTTTTTCATGTTATTGAATGCTATTTATACATTTTTAAGTTAAGCTGACAATGTTATTTTAGTATTATTAACATAATATTCTAGTATTAATTAATGGCTTTTATTTTTATATTTTCAGTTTTCATTTTAATTTTAGTTTAAGTTTTAGTGATTCTGTTACATGCTTAGTCAGTTTTTTAAATATTTCTATTTAACTTTGTTTTTATTTCTGTTTTAGTAATTTTAGTATGTCAACTTAAAAACTTTTTTTATAGGCAACATATTTAATTTTATGAAACGTTTTTAAGTATTTCTAATAAGCAATAATTCTATTTTTCAGAAAATTTCAGAAAATGATTTTTATTGGATTTATTTTTTACTATTTAGTTAATCACTAATATGGTAAAAGTGTTTAAACCATTTACAGAATCATGGAACCACAAATCAGTCATTCAGATTTACAGCTGTAGGTCCAGTGCTTTACCACAAAACAGGACAAAAACAAACATCACCTTATTTGGACTCGTTTTATTTAGTTGATGATTCCAAACATCACAAATATGGAAACAACGTCTGAACTCTGACCTAGAGATGGCATCCTAGTGCACACTAGCTGTTCACAAAAAGAGTATCAGTATGGCAAGGTGCTCCTCTCTGTTGCTTTCTTTGTCTCGTCGAGTGCGTGAGTGATTAAGCTTGCAGGATCATGGTCTGTATGAAATGCACTCACACAGTTGGAAGAAAGTGTGCTCCTGATCTGGAATGAAACTTCACTGTGATTTACAACCTTGTGGACTGTGGACATGCTGCTGGAGCAATTAAGGTTTCCTTTTGGGATTTCTTCTTTCCTAAACAAAGCAATAAATTTGAAAAAAGAAAGGAAGGAAGGGGGGAAAACCTGAGCCAAGAAAATACTCAAGAATTGAAATTCATAGTTTTTCAGTATGAGGAAACCTGCAGATAAGCATCATTTCATCATGGAGACCTCAGGGATGCACCTGGTTGGATTTTGGCTGCACGTTCTGCTGCTGTCTAGGCTTGGCGATGCTGCTTCTAAGGATATAGTGTGTGAGCCAATCACTGTACCGATGTGCAAAGGGATCGGATACAATCACACCTATATGCCCAACCAGTTCAATCATGACACCCAGGATGAAGTCGGCTTGGAAGTGCACCAGTTTTGGCCACTTGTCCGGATCCGTTGCTCCCCAGACTTGCTTTTCTTCCTGTGCAGTATGTACACCCCCATCTGTCTTCAGGACTACAAAAAACCTCTACCGCCTTGCAGATCCGTGTGCGAGAGGGCTAAGAGGGGTTGCTCTCCCCTCATGATTCAGTATGGGTTTGAGTGGCCGGAGCGGATGAGTTGTGAGCAGCTGCCTATGCTGGGCGACACCGATCGGCTTTGTATGGACAGGAACAGCAGTGAGACCACAACTCTATCACCTCCTTTCCCCAAACCCACTCCCAAAGGAACGCCTAGACATAGAGCCACTGCAAAATCTGCTCCGCCGCAGAAGTGTGACCGTGAGTGCCATTGTCGAAACCCCCTAGTGACAATTAAACAGGATGCACATCCTCTCCATAACCGGGTACATACTGGCTCTCTACCCAATTGTGCTTTGCCTTGCCACCAACCCTACTTTTCCCTGGATGAGCATGCCTTTACAACCTTTTGGATCGGCCTGTGGTCGGTGCTGTGCTTTGTCTCGACGCTCACGACTGTGGCCACTTTCCTCATCGACATGGAGCGTTTCAAATATCCAGAGCGGCCGATTATCTTCCTGGCTGCTTGTTATCTGTTTGTGTCGCTGGGGTACATTGTGCGACTGCTTGCAGGCCATGAGCGGGTAGCTTGCGAGGGCTCCGGCAACCAACAGCACATCCTCTTTGACACCACGGGTCCAGCCCTTTGCACGCTAGTTTTCCTGCTCATATATTTTTTTGGAATGGCCAGCTCCATCTGGTGGGTGGTGCTTTCCTTCACCTGGTTCCTGGCAGCAGGAATGAAATGGGGGAACGAGGCCATCTCGGGTTACTCGCAGTACTTCCACCTTGCTGCTTGGCTCGTCCCTAGTGTCAAGTCCATCGCTGTCCTGGCTTGGAGTTCGGTGGATGGAGACCCCGTGGCTGGGATCTGTTACGTCGGCAACCAGAGTTTGGAGAGCCTACGTGGCTTCGTATTGGCACCACTGGTCGTCTACCTCTTCACTGGCTCCCTCTTCCTTCTGGCCGGATTTGTTTCACTCTTCCGGATCCGTAGCGTCATTAAACAGGGCGGCACCAAGACAGACAAGCTGGAGAAGTTAATGATCCGGATTGGGCTCTTCACTGTCCTGTACACCGTGCCCGCAAGTATTGTGGTGGCTTGCCTAGTGTACGAGCAACATTACAGGCCAGGTTGGGAGCGGGCCCTGGCCTGTTCTTGCCCGTCCGAGCGCCAGCGGCTCGGCATGGGGCCGGACTATGCCGTCTTCATGCTGAAATACTTCATGTGTCTTGTAGTAGGCATTACCTCAGGTGTTTGGATCTGGTCTGGGAAGACTCTGGAGTCCTGGAGACGCTTTGTGGCACGGTACCGCCCCTGTAGGACCCAGAAGCCACCTGTATCAGGCTCATCCATGTACAGTGAGGCGAATACCGCTCTCACAGCCCGAGCCGGAACAGCACCCACTGGGACCTATCACAAATCAGCACCCTCATAACACGTCTGAACATTGGCCAGAAAACCCTGGTCCATTATAAACCCTACAACTGTCAAACGAGTGAAGCATGAAGTGTGCAGGTCATGACTCTGAATGAGCAGGTGTCTGTTCGACCTGATGGATTGAACGAATATATTATGAAGGATTTTTACAGGCTATTGGTTGTTTAATTGTAGTCAAGTTCTTCTTATTCACTGGTCTAATTTGCAGAGCAATGAACATGTTGATACTTTGTGAGAAAAAGAGAATTTGTCTGCTTTACAATTGTTGCAAGCATCTTGATGAATGATGGAAAAAAGATCTGAGAAGGTTAATACTTGATATGAGTCCAGATGAATTGAGGGGTTTGTGGAGATATTTTATTTATTTGTGTATTCTTGTAAATATGCTATTCAAAAACTTTGTGATATCTCAGATAACAGTCACTCTGTTGTGTTTGTGACTTTATTGGCATTTTACAGGATGTCAGTAGGATCATCTCCGGTCTTCTAATTTACAAATGTGTTTTAAGGTAGGACGTGCTTTCATGTGTTCTCTGTAAAAAAACAAAAACAATTTCAGCTTATGCGGTGCAAGTGGAGGAAGAAAGCCAGTCTAGTGAAGAAGCAGTTCACATTCACCTAAAGTTGTTGCAGGCAGTTCTGCACAGGTTAATGCTCACCGAATGTTCTTCAGTGTCCCTCAGCAGCCACTTATCAAAGCCATCTCCCCACTGATAATAGATTGTTGGTTAGCGTCTATTGGGCAGTGTTAAATGATAGGATGTGTATGTACCATCTATAGAGTTGTTTGAAGAGTCTGTAGGTCTATTGTGTGAGCTTGACTTCCCTCTTGTGGTCAATGGTTCAATTTTCACGAGGTTCAGGTGTTAACCAGCAGTCATTCTAGGTTTGTTGAATAGAACTTGTTTTTTTTTTTGGGCAAGGCCAAATATTAACTGGTTTCAAAATGTGGAACTACATAATTTCTTTTGGTCTGTTCATTTCCTTGTCAAGCCTCATGATCCCGTCTTTGGTTATTTTATTAACCATTGTAATAAAAATGTAAATATGTCATTTCACCTTATTTGTGTTTCGAATCAGAAAACCAGTGTTGGCTATGCACTTTTAGCAGATAGAATCTGTAAATGTTGTTTTTGTAGTTCTGTGTGAAATCTTTCAGTGGAGCATTAAGGTGTAAATGTAAGCATTGTTTGGCTACTTTTTACGGTCCAAGCTGTTGTAGAAGTAACATTTCCTGTGTAGTCTTTAAAATGCCTCACAATTTTGCTGCATGTCTGGTTGTGTGTATATACTCGTTTGGCTCTATTCGTATGTAAATCTTGTAGAAGACATGTCCTTTTATGAGTCCAGACTGCAACTCTGTACATATGTTTTGTAAAAGATATGAAATACAGTGCTACAATTTTAAAGAGATTTTTAGATATTTATGAAAAGTGTCTTTTAAACATGTTTCTTTTGTTTCTCTTACTGGTAGAGAATAAAAGTGAGGAGCAATTTGTGAACCTGCAAGTCAAACGTTTGGTCTATTATTAATTATGCTTTTATTTTTTCTGCTGTTTTGGAGAAGAAAAAAAAACAATTCACCCAGTTGATATAAAAAATAAAATCCCACTGAGTGCGTCAAATCATTTTTACTTTTCTGATGTTTTGTTAGTAGAAAGCTATCCATTTTAGATTTTTTTTAAAGGCATTAAAAACCTGCACTTTATTCATATATTATTTATATATTTACATTTACACAAATACGGTTCTAACAAATTTAATTAGCCCTTATTGTGAAAGAAAGAGCTGTAAGTGTTAAAATCCCTGGATTAATTTTTCAGTGTAATGCAACAAAAACAAACCACCATTTTGACAGTTTGGAGTGACCTTGTAAAACATTCTTCAAACATAAATTCAGGCATGTTACATGATTAGTGTTTATTTAAAATACTCCATCTGCAAATGATTTTAATTAAAAACTGACAGTTCACAGCTAGTAGCCTACATAGTAAGCAAAAAACAAACAAAAGAAACCATTTAGTCTGTTTTTGTCTCTATGGTGTTCTGCAACGGTTGGGTAAGGTGTAAGATCTTTCGGGGTGGCATAATGTCACAGCCAAAGGTGGGGCAAAGAATGAGTTTTGTCCATTCAACTTAGTCTTGGAGTGGCCATTGTTCCAAGAAAAAAAGCTCTAGGAAAGAACGGCATTGGATCTGCGGATGCCCACTAGGTTGTCTGCACTGAATGATCTCCTCATGGCCACTCTGCTCAGATCCTTGTACTTATCCTCACATAGTCTTGAGATAGCCTTTGAAATAAAGAACAAATTATATGAGAACGCTTGTAATTAAACTGACCCATTAGAAAAAGTAGTATGACTTGAGTACATTTTTTAGGTATGCTGCCCACCTCTAATTTCTGTGCTCGTTCGTTGCTCAATGGTTCCAAAGGAAAGCTCAGGTTGTTGTCGTCTGCTAAAGAGCGCAGGTCAAAGTAATACTTGGCGTAGACGCTGGCCGGCACGTTAATGTTAAACTGTAGCAGCTCCAGAAAATGTCTTTCCATCTCATTCCTAAAAAAAAGGATTGTGAGATTCACTGAGTCAGGAGTGTCTTTTCTGATTTAAAATCACAGACAATAGTACCAATGTAAATAATGCCAGATACAACCAGATATTAAAGAAGACAGATTTAAAAAAAAAAAAAAGAGCAACATGAAAACTATACAATCCATTACTGGCAAAGCTAAATTTTTCAAAATTTTCATTAGTCTTCAGTGTCACATGATTCTTCAGAGAAATCATTCTAATATGCTGATTTGGGGGGGTGTCAGTCGCTAGGGGCAACAAATGGAGTGGGCGAGAGCCTGGGCCATTGTTGAGGAGTCTGAGAGCACTTGAAGCCCGCCAGCCCAGAGGCTCACAAAGACTGCTTCAATGAAAGGGATGAAAATAGAGCGAAGGGGCAGAGAGGAGAGAAGAGGGCCATGGCCTTTAACATACACAATCACGTAGAACAGACACATACACACACAAACCCTGTCTGTGTCATTTATATGGATATTGAGACATGAGAACAAACAAAAAAAACAAGGTTTTGAAGTGTGTCGCTTCATTTTTTTGAAAGTCGTGCACGCTTGTTTCAAGGGATATGGGAAGTTGTGAGGTATGTAGGAGTTGTAGACTGGAATGAGTTGGCAGAGGAGTGAAGTGACACCGGGTACTGTCTCCTTACTGCAACACATATTGGATTTTGGATGGTGCGTTGATGTATCACAACAAGACGTTTTGTTCTAGATTATTTTGACCGTACAAATGAGCTGTAACATTTCAGCGGAACACACAGTGACTATATTATCTCACTCACATGTCCTCAACAGTGATGTCTTTGAGGATCTGACAGTAGTCGACGTTCCACACGGCCTGATCGTCCCAGACTTTCGAGGCCAGTAGGATGGCTCCCAGAACAATCCTCTTCCAGTTAGACGGGCAAATGTCCAGCTCGGCATACGTCAACAGCCTCTCCAAATATACCTGCAGCAAAGACAGTGGACATGTATGTGCTCAAAAGATGCTTCTTACAAAGGTAACTTGCGATATGGCATCATTCTGTGCAAATTAGAATTAAAATACTGGAAACTCTTTATGATAACATTTAGTTCATTTACACTAGCTGATGTGTTACTTATGAAATAACAATTAATAATACTTTTACAGCATTAAATAATTTCAGAAAGAAATAAGGAATTTGTCTTGATGTTAATTAATCTAGGTTAATCTTTCATAATTATACATCGTCCATCACAACTAACATAGTTATCTGACATATTTATATTAAACTGTAAATAACATATCTGCACACTAATAACATATCTGTACATTTATCTAAACAATTAAATTTTTCCCTATACTTCTATTTCTGTATATAGTACATTAATGTTTTAAATTTTTTTATTTACATTTTTTTTTATATTAGTGTTATATTGCATCCCTACTGTGTTATTCCTATGTATGTCTGCACTATCATGTATGTCTGCACTATGTTTGTACTTTCTTCTACACTGGAAGCTCCTGTCGTCAAGTCAAATTCCTTGTGTGTGTAAACATCCTTGGTAATAAAGCTCTTCTGATTCTGATTCATGTTAATTTCTATATGCATTACAGTTCAAAATTTTGGGGTTGGCTACGTTTTTTTTTCATAGTATTTTTTTACTCGCCAAGGCTACATTTAGACTCTTGAACAGAGTTCATGTATTATAACTGAATCTAAATTAACAATGAGCATTAAGCTAGATTAATAAATGCTGTAAAAACTGTTGTTCATTGTTCATGATACCTAAAAATTTAACCTTATTGTACATTTTATCAAAATATTTGATTGTAAATAATCACGAGTTATTGGTTGTGAATCAGGTGAGGTGTGCTTAACATTATTTGCTTTAAGGTAAAAGGAAGAAGTTGGAATGGAGTCTGGACCAATACTGGCTAAACAAACACATGATGATTCAATCTCTGGTGCTCTGCTGTCCTCTAATGGACATCAGGAAAATGTACCTAAGCACCCCAATAAAAAACCAAACGCCCCTGCTTAATGTTAGACTCTATCTTTTTCTCATTGTACAGAATAAGCTGAAAGTGGAGCAGACCAGTCAGAAAGGCTGCCATTCTCTTACCAGAGTGACGATTGCACACTCGGCTGTGAGCTGTGCTGCACTGAACAGCGTCCGGACGAATCGATAGATGAGTTTGTGTTCGGGGTCTGTGCAGGAGTAATCATCAGGAACCTGCTCCCTCTGCCAAAGGTAGCATTTATACACATTATATGCTAATATGCTCAAAACTTCTAGCTCAACTTCAAGCTCAAATGCGTTTTATGGTTCATTTAATATAAGTGTAATGTTCATTAGTTACTTCTGAAGACTAAAACGGGGCAGTCGTGGCCTAATGGTAAAAGTCGGACTTGTAAACCAAAGGTCGCGGGTTCGAGTCTCTGTACCGCCAGTGTGTTCACGGTGTGTGTGTGTGTGTGTGTTTGTTCACTACTCACTGCTGTGTGTGTGCACTTGGATGGGATAAATGCAGAGCACAAATTACGAGTATGGGACTCCATACTTGACTACATGTCACTTTCACTTTTTAAAATGTCATTATGATGCCAAGACACCTTATACTATTACAAAGAGTCCCTGTCATTGTGACAAGAGGTAGAACATAAGCTAACCATATGGGATAAGAGTGAGAAAAAATAACTGACTTCTTACAAAGTGTATGTTGTATGTCAAGTCCCAAATAACAAAAGTAACTGACTGTTCACAAATGCTTTTCCAAAAATCCATTTCAAATGGATTTTAAACCACGTATGAATCAGATCAAATGTGCAAATCGGATTGCAGAACATTTTTTCTGCTCAGACTAAACAGCTAAACGGATTTGATGCACACAAAAAATAGATACTGCAGCCTGTCTGAACAAAATCAAATAGTGACTATAAAATGTGGAATTGTCCAACAGCTGCAGATGTTACTGAAAGCAAGAAAAATAAGAGGTTAACTTACAGATAAGGGGTGCATTTTTTCATCAAAGATGTCCAATGACTTATCGGAGTCCCTGAAATGGATTAATTAACATTTTTAAAATCACAGAACACATTTCAATTTTATAAGCAAAATCTTATCAAAATTTATAGGTCAAATGATTTGCTTGTGGGAAAGAACATAATGAAACATACCTGTTTTTAATGTGATAATAAATTGCTAATGTGACACTGGAAACAGAACAGAAAGGTGGTCAACATACAAACCAAAGCAAAATAAAACAAACAGTACTCTACCTTTTCATTTTGCTAATTATTTTTTCATGCATCAATGGTCTGTACTCATTATATAACTCATTAATGTCTATATTTTACTATAAATGATCATGTAGAAATAGTAAAAAAAAAAATTGTGTAATAAAACAGTGAACTGTCACCGACCATTTGATTGTGCTTTTCAGGTTGGGCTGACTAACGGTACTGTCATCAATGAATATCGTAGAGCAGGAGCTGTACTTCTTCGAAAGCAGACCAGGTGAGACCTTCAGAAAGAATGAACATTTAATACACTTACAACCATATAACCAAGCACAACCACAAAACAGACTCCATAACAGATTCACTCACATGGTTTATGTGATTGCTTTTCCTCCTGTCCCGTACTGAAAAAGAAAAAGGCAAGTTAAGCATTTCATTATCAAATATTGACAAGCTGTGCCAGTAGCCATTTAACAAAGTGACCTTCCAGCTATTAAAGGTATGGTCAGGACACTAGTTAATATGCAGCTGCTAACAAGGAAGTCAAATGAAATGATTAACTCGTTAGATGACAATTATTAGAAACACTCACCATCCGTCTGTGACTTGCTAAGGAAGATGGTGCTGGCACGGGCATGATCTGATGGGTTGGACTCTAAAGCCAGATCTAGAAGACAGATAATCAATCAATCAATCAATCAATCAACAACATATGGGCATCTAAGAATGAATGGAACATACTTGAATAGCAATAAAATATAAAACTTTCAAATTGTTAACATTACTCTTATTATTTCACATATACACTAC